GATATGTGTTGTGGGATTCAGGTGGACGAGAGAGATACCTCGGGTTAAAACGGGAGAATCTTTTATTGAGTGCACTCAGGCCCAGCTGACTCAACGTCCAAATGACTGGGCCCGGAACAAAGTTTTATACACACTTCACAAAAGGGGGTGGGCCAGCTTGAAGCAAGCTTTCAGTGGTGTGAAAGCAGGGATATAGAGGCAGGACAAAGACAGTTAATCAAATTGTAACAGGTTCATAACTCAAGATTGCACATAACCATTGCTATGCGACCCAGATGTCCATTATCTAGGTTTGCCTAGGCACAGGCTTATCCTATAACCTTTACTATGGCCCCCAGGTGGCCGCAACTCAGGCCTGCTTAGAGACTCATGACCTTCACGCTACTGCTTAGATAAAACAATACTTGAAGTCACTAGTTACAGAGAACAGGAATCTATAAACTCATTCCATTAAACAAAGGGAAATTTGTTTTTCTTATCCCTATGTTAAAGGAGTGCTGGGAGAGTCTTCAGAGCACATTAGATAATATTATCTAGACTTTTCCTGGGTCTGGGCTGTGCCTGTTGCTGCCTCTGGGACAAGTCAGCCTAATACAGGAAAACTTATTTCTCTTTCTTTTTAATTTTATTTTTATTTAATTTCCCACCTCATATGTTGTGAGAAATGTGTCGTTAGGCAATGGTCATTGTGAGAACATCATAGGGTGCACTTATAAAAACCTGAATAGTACAACTTACTGCACACTTAGACTATGCAGTATAGCCTATTGCTCCTAGGTTATAAACCTGCACAGCATTTTGCTGTACCACTTGAGTATCCCTAATTCAAACATTTAAAGTCTGAAATGCTCCAAAAGTCCGAAATGCACTCAAAACTTTTTGAGTGCCAACATGATGGTCAAAGGAAGTGCTCACTGGAGCAGTTCAGATTTCAGATTTTGTGATTAGTGAGGAACACTGATATGATACAAACATTCAGAAATCCAAAATCCAAAACACTTCTGCTCCCAAGTGTTTTGAATAAGGAATACTCAACTTGTACTAAATGCTGTAGGCAATTATAATATAATAGTAAGTATTTATCTAAACATAGAAACGGTAGAGTAAAAATATGGTATTATAATTTTATGAGACCACTAGTATATGCAGTGTCATTGACCAAAACATCATTATGTGGCACACGTTGTTTCTGTATTTTTTTCTTGGTGTCTCGTTTTTCCCCTTCTTTTCAGTAAATCTAGTATTTTTCAGTACTCCATTTTATCTACTCTATTAACTTTTAGCTGTAGCACTTTGTGTTATTTTTAGTGGTCATTCTAGAGATTACAATATGTACCTTGTGCCAGAGTATACCTTCAGATAATATTATTTCATGCTACTTTACCCCAATACAAGAACCTTACTCCAATATATTTCCATTTAGCCTCTCCTGCCTGTTATGATCTTATCTTGTAGCTAATTTATGCATATTCCATAAAACCCACAATACAGTATTCTTATTTGCGCTTTAAAAATCAATAGCTTTTTAAAGAATTTAGATACATACATGTTTGCATAGAAATTAAAAATGTTAAAAAATATTTTAATACTTAGATATTTAGATGTTTATAATTTCTAGTCTTCTTTCCTTTCTGCAAATCTAGTATTTCATCTGGTATCATTTTTCCTTAGTCTAAAACACTTTTTGTGGCATTCATTACAAGCTGATCCATTCGAGATGAATTCTCTCAGCTTTGCCTAAGAAGAAGATATTTATTTTACCTTCATTTTTGAAGGGTGTTTTTGGATATAGAATTCTAGGTTGGCAGGTTTCTGACCACTTTAAAGACTGTCATTCCATTGTTTCTGGTGAGGAGCCCCATGATTTGAATTGCTGTTCCCTATGTAAGATGTGGTTTTCTTGTGCTCATCCTGCTTGAGGGTTTCAGAGTGTATGATGGGGAAATTCCTACTATGCTGTCAACACAGGACACTTCAGTAATCAGCTGTCTGGCTTTTTCCTACACCAAGCAGTTCTCTGACACCAGCTGGGTATTCTACAATTCAATTCAGACATTGTCTGCCTGGAGTTAGCACAGACCCCAGGGGTTAAGAGCTTAGTGCAACAAGGCTGCCCCCACTCACCTCCGATGCCAATCACAAATCCAAGTTGTCACCTGTGTTCTGACCAACCAGCTGTAAATCAGAGATTCCCACAACACATTCCGTAGGTTTGATCACTAGAATGGCTCGCAGAACTCAGAAATATTTACTTATGTTTACTAGTTTATTATGATAATAAAGGACATGATAAAGGGTACAGATGAACAGCTGGATGATGCATAGGGTGATATCTGGAAGGAAGGGTCCTGAGTGCAGGAGCTTGTGTCCCTGTGGAGTGAGGGTATATCACCCTCCTGGCACATAGATGTCTTCAGCAACCCAGAAGTTCTCCCAGGGGCATTTATGGAGGCTTCGTCACATAGGCATAGTCAAATATTAACTCAGTCTCCAGCCTCTCTCCCTTACCCTGAAAAGGGGGAGTATGGCCGAAAGCTCTAAGCCTCTCATCAGGGCTTGGTCCTTCTGGTGACCAGCATCCATCCAGGATTCCATACACAGTTGCCTCATTAGAGCAAAAGACGCTTCTATAACTCAGGAAATTCCGAGGGCTTAGGAGGTCTATGTCAGGAATCAAGACCAAAGACCAAATATTAGAACAAAAGATGGACCTAACACCTCTGTCACTCGGGAAATTACAGAAGTTTCAGGAGCTCTGTGCCATGAATTGGGAGCAGAGACCAAATGATATATTTTTTTATTATGTCACATAGAGTTTCAGAGTAACATGCATCTATGAACTGATATTTTTCATCAGTTCTCAGCCATTCTCTTCTCCATTTCCTCTGTCCTATTTTCTGTCTTTTATTCTATAATCAGTTATACTTAAGTTAGTATGTTTGATATATTCCTTCAGGTCTCAGATACATGCTCTTATATATTTTTTTCATTCTTTTTTCTCCTTTGGTTTTGTTTTAGTTAGGACACTTTTTATTGACCTGTTTTCAGCCTTACTGGACCTTCCCTCCACTGCATCCAGTCTGTTGTTAAGATTGTTTAATTAATTCTTTGTGATATCAATATCTTTATTCCTATATTCCCATTTGGTTCTGTTTCATAGTTTCTATTTCTCTGCTGAAACTCTGTCTTTTCACATGTGTTGTCCGTCTTTTGTTCTTATTGACCCTTTTCTCTTTTTTTTCAGAGAGGGTCTCACTCTGTCACCCAGGCTGGAGTGCAGTGACATAATCATGGCCGAGTGCACCCTTGTCCTCTGGTCTCAAGTGATCCTCAGCCTCCTGAGTAACTGAGACCATAGGCACACGCCACCATGCCTGGCTAATTTTTTATTTTTTGTAGAGATGGTATCTCAGTATGTTACCCAGCTGGTCTCAAACTCTTACGCTTAAGTGATCCTCTTGCTTTGGCCTCTCAAAGTGCTGGGATTGCAGGTGTGAGCCAACATGCCTGGACTGTTCTTGGCCCTTTATCGTATTTACTACAGTTATCTTAAAGTCTTCCTCTGATTGATCCAATGTCTGGCACATCTTCTATAGAGTCTTTTCTCTCTTGCGCATGAGTCATATTTTCTTGCTTCTTTGTTATGTATTATAATTTTATTATATTGTAATTTTTTTATTGAGTTCTGTTGAAAAGGAAATGTTGAGACTGAACTAAATAATATGTACTTCCAGAAGTGGTCATGCCACCTCTTCTGTCAGGCTACTTGTATAGGGAGGCTCTGTCAATCAAATCTGTCACTGAGCTGCATTAAGACTGTTGCACCTGTGGTTAAATTTAAGACAACACTGCCTACAGCTCCATTGAGGGAGTGATAAAGACCTTCTCTTCCACAGGACTTGGGATCTCAGCACTTGAAGGATTCTAGAGATATATTTGTGCTTTACAACTGAGCCATCAGGTTTCTGGACTGTGGGAGATTTCCTTTGTTTTGCACCAAAGTCGACAGCATTTTTGGATCTCTGGGGAGCTTTCTTCGCTCTCCAGTCTCAACTCTGGCTTTCCGTTTCCCTGAAGATCTCTCTTCATTCTGCAGCCCTTACTCACTTCTATCATAGGTTGCTCCTCCTCCTGCCACTCACCTGGTGGTCTCTTCTTTCCTTTTTGCAATCATGTTCGTTTAGGTTTCTTTGCATCCTCAACATCCCAGTGGGTTTTAAAAAGCTATGAAGATTTTTCAGTATATCCAGCTCATTTTGGTAGTTAGGGTGAAAGCTTCAACAGTCTCTTATACCTTCCCCATCCTAACTTGAAGTGAAGGTCTTCCCCTGTATCTTTTTGTCCTGTCACTTATAAAGAGATTTATTTTTAACCCAGTTATTTCAGTAATTGCCTTAAAATGTTGATGATTTGATTGTTTTCCCTTTATTTTTTCTTAAATCAGTAAAGTAGAATGAGAAGGGACTTTGTTGATTAAATATTTTAGGAGTGGGTAGTGGAGAAATCATTTTTCATTGCTTTTCTACAGTAAATCCACAAAGGGATATACTCAAGAATATGCAAAGGAATATGCAATTACTCGAATGTATTATAATTCAAGTAATTATAATTATGTAGTCACAGCCTTATAAAGTATAGTGTGAAATAAATGCCACTTGTGTCAAAATGGTTTATAGGACAATAAAAATAATGACAGAAAAATAGGAAATAATTTAAATGTAAGAATAGTTTTAAGACCTGTTTATTTTAGGGGGAATGAGTTTAGTTAAGGTTATTTGGTATTTGTCTCTCATGGCTTCTGTGGTACATAATCTCACCTATTTCTTTGAAAAACGAGTTTTTATCGTGCCATTTCTAACGTGTCAGTTTTATCTAAGCAATCAATTTATATTACCATTTTTCTTGTATTAAATGTAGTGTTTAGACAAATGTCATACAAAGTCACACTGTAGCTCCCTTAGATAAACCTAGAAAGTAGATAAATTTCTGATTTTTCTTACTTTTGCTGAAAAACATATTTTCAGGTTCCAAAACATTTCTGAAAAGCTGCACATGGAATGCAAAGCAGAAATGGTGACGCCTCTGGTGACTAATCCTGGACACGTGTGCATCACGGACACAAACCTCTATTTTCAGCCTCTCAACGGCTACCCGGTGCGTGTACCTCAGGGTCAGGTGGGGAGCTGCCCATATTTAAGCTGTTTCCAGACCATGGCCTCACAATGCCTGTGACCTCACTTTTTGATGAGAATCAAAAGTCACGTCCCCGCCCACCCCCTTCACAAGCAGCATCTGTGTATTTTACAAACACTGTGTGTAGTTGTGGTGTGGAGTCTCCGAAGTTTGAGTTCCTCTGATCTGTTTTCAGTCATGTCAGGGGCACTTGCTCTCAGGGTGGTGAAGAGAAACCCTGCTCCTCCCGATTTTAGTAAAAGATCGCTAGAGATTTAGACCTTTCTTCAAGGAGGCATTTCTGAGAGACCAGTGAAATGTGCTATGGTTAATAAGAAATGGATTTTGAAATATATTTGCTTATATGAACACAGATGTTGGTATTTCTTGCTTCTACTTAATGATGAACAACCTCAGTAGATCTGAATTTTTCCTGAAGGAGCACTGTGAGGAGGTCCTCCCGGCTAGTGCAGAGGTGTGTGTGGAGATCCGGCCGTCTGACAGTTGTGGGCTCCTGCTAGGGTGTTGGAAACAATCTTCTCTTTCACAATGACACCAGACTTACAAGGCCAGAAAGTAAAGATGAACTTAGATTTATTTCCATGTGGAAACTTGTAAAGATTTGTTGCTTATCTAGATCTGGCCACTTTTTAGCACAATCCATTAAAAGAACAGAAATCCTAACACACCCTGGTAGTGCTGGGTAGTGGGGCCATTTGGCAGGGCCCAAGAATCAGGAGTGTTTTCTGCCAGAGAAAGTTCCACCTTGGAGGTTGTCCAGGCTGGTCATTACAGGGCACTAAAGCATCTCAAACTCTCCTGAGTGAAAGTTTATGCTATAGCAATTCTGTCCACTAGGTGGTGGGGCTCACTTTCCTAGTTCTCCAGTAGACACTGCATGCTGCTGGCACAGCATTCTCTGGGAGTGTAATAAATTGGCTTGGCTGCTACTATTGCTTGGGTCAGAAATTTTGAAAAAAAAATGTCTGTGTACCCTGGCTTCACAATCCATGATATGGGCCTTTACCCCTTCCCAATACTGGCCACGATCCTTGACCAGTCATTTACAAGACTTGACTCTGGGCCTCCAGGGCAGTTTCCACTATTGGACAGACTGACTTCTGTGCACCCATCATCCCTCCCACTTGGGAGGAGGACCACGGAAGCATAGCCATTAGCCAATCTCTGCCTTATTAAACCTCCTTTCTCTCTTGCTAGTGTTTTAAAATTATAGAAAAGCAAGACAATTTTCTTCTTCATTAACAAAGAAAAAATTTAGAGGCCTTGCTTTATACTTTAGTAATTTGTGAGCCTTAATACACTGTAATTTTTAGTGAGATAAAAGACAGGATTCTTTAAAAAAGATGTGTGTCAGTGCTAAGCAAACCATTTGTCAAAAAAAGATAGCAAGATTCCTGAGAGGTTATTTATGCCAGTTCTTTATATTTCTTATCATCCCACAATCTAACCTGAAAGATATCACCCCGCCCAAACTAACCTGAAAGATCCCTGAGAGATAGTTGATTGCATTCTCATCTGATGGGTGCCACGTGGCAGGGAGGAAGACTTGCCCAAGGTCATAAAGCTAGTGAAAGATGACAGAGCAGAATGGGAAACCAGGTATCACCTTGTTCCAAGATTTCCTTTTCCAGTGGTTCATTAGGAAGGCAAGATTTGTTAATTTTTTTCCCCCTTTCTGATACTATGGAACAACTTCTAATTGTGTCAGAACAATAATGTTTGAGATTGTCTTTCTACTTTTAAAGAAACCTGTGGTCCAAATAACACTCCAAGATGTCCGGCGCATCTACAAAAGGAGGCACGGCCTCATGCCTCTGGTGAGTCCTTGGGAGGCTGTGCTGGGGGATGATTGCCACACCTTCAGTTTAGCAAGCAGTTTATTGACAGTAAACACCTATGGGATGTCTGAAAGTACAAGTACATTGCCTTGTAAGAACTTAGACTCTGATTTCGCTGTTCTTTCTTTTGGAGAAGCTAGAAATTCATAAAGGAATAAGTCCTTCATGGAGAGAAGAGGTTCTATTATGAAATATTTTTGGCTCCAAGAGCAAGAGGGCTAGAGTGCCCTTGAGTTTCTCACTCCAGCATTCTCAGTTTCTGGGCTCAGGCTAGAATGGTCTGTGTAAAACCAGCCCTGTGCTGTACTTGCCTCCAGTATTCATAGCAGCTAGGTCTCAAAGCAAAATTTGGAAGTTATTACAAAATTACTTCTTTAGTGGAACTAGTATATTCACAATTAACTTACATTAATTCAGCCTTTGGGCTTGCTGAGAGAGAGAAATGGACAAAATAACCGTTTAAATCATATAGGCAGTTCTTTCCACCATTCCCTGAATACGTGTATTTCTATACTTAGGTGTTTCTGACACATGTCTTACTTTAGTAACCAATCCCTACAGAAGGTATGATTCCAAGGTGTTTTAATTTGACACCAATAGAAATTCATTTTTTCTCCTTTGAAGGTTAACCAGTAACTTGGTGACATTACAAAAGCATTGTGAAATTTTAACTCTTATTTTTGTGCTTTTAATTTGTGAAATTCTACTGTTTTGCTGCCTGTTTTACTTAAAAGGCCATTCCTCCATTTCCAGCACTAATAGTGGATCAGGGAAACAGATACTATTACTATTAAAAATCGCCTCCTTTGGGTATAGAGCTGCAGTCAGAAAAAGAGAAGAAATTAACATTGATTAAGTGCTTTCTGTGTACTAGGCAATTTATGTATAATGTTTCATTTATTTGCCATTGTTAAGTCTTATGAAGTAGATAGTTTGAGACTCCAGGGGTTAACTTCCTAAGCTCCCAGCGAGTACATGGTGAAAGCCTGTATTTGAACCAAGGGCAACTCTGGGCTTTCATCCTGGCTTTGTCTGTTCCTTTGCTAGCTCAGCCTTACCAATACTATTGTCACAAAGCTCATAGGTTTTTGTAAGATAATAATAATGTATTAATTGAATGGGTTATTCAATTATCAATTTGTTAGGTATGCATAATTTTTATTTCTTAGCTGGGCATGGTGCACCTGTAGCCTAGCTACTCAAGAGGCTGAGGTGGGAGTATCAGTTGAGCCAGGGAGTTTGAGGCTGCAATGAGCCATGATCACACCATTGCGCTCCAGCCTGGGCAGCAGAGCAGGACCTGGTCTCAAAAATATATATATGTTATTTAACTTACAAAAGAAAACTAAACATTTATGTTTGAAGAAGAGATGTGAAGACATGGATCGGCGATTTTTGAATTTCAAAATAATAAGTTCACAAAAGCTATTATTAATGAAAATATTCAACACCCAAGGTGATTTACAAAGTTTAGCTGAGATACTATCTTATTCTCAGAACATTTATAAACACAACATATATATACACGCAACCATATATGTGTATATATGTCACTGAGTTAAATTTATAGATTGAAAATAGGAATATAAGATATAAAAATAAACACAAATGTTTAACTGAAAGTTTTTGTAATTATATACTTATATTGGGATTGCAAGAGGAATACAATGCTATTTATTTTATTCTTTTCTTTTTGAATTTATAGGGCTTGGAAGTATTTTGCACAGAAGACGATCTGTGTTCCGACATCTACCTAAAGTTCTATGAACCTCAAGATAGAGATGATCTCTATTTTTACATTGCCACATACCTAGGTTTGGCACTCACCCTTCATTGTTTCTTTTTTTTTTTTTTGAGACCGAGTCTCGCTCTGTCACCCAGGCTGGAGTGCAATGGTGCGATCTCGGCTCACAGCAAACTTTGTCTCCTGGGTTCAAGTGATCTCGTGCCTCAGCCTCCCGAGTAGCTGGGACTACAGGTGCCTGCCCCCACGCCAGGCTAATTTTTTTTGTATTTTTAGTAGAGACAGGGTTTCTGTTCATAAGAAGGTAGTTCAACTCCTAAGGATCTGGGATAGGAAATAAGAGAAGAAGAATGCTATTTCTAGAATCGTCTGTTTGTGGTTCTAATTTCTTCTCATCAGTAACTATAATTGCCAAAGTAATGTTTTTAAAATTCTGGGAAATATAAATTCACTTTGGTAATAGTTCATTCTGAATGTATGTTTTAAAAACTCTAGATAAATATATTTAAATACTCTTATATTCTAACGTCCTCCACATTGAATGGATTTTGAAGAATCCACTCAAATATTTTTATGTTCAATCAGGTCTTATATTAGTTTATGAGAACCAAGACTCAGTTTTGGACTGTGAGGCAGTGAGTTATTCATACATTTGTGATCATTGATTGTGGTCAGAACCACAAAGCTGAAAGACTGCAAAAGGAACATGTGAACCTTCTATGCTTAATATGCTGACTTTGGAGTGGAATTTGCTTTTAATTAATGGTATTTCCTCAGTTTTTCATGAAAAATGTGATTTTTCCTACCTTTGCCAGAGAAAATACTTACATTATGATGTTCAAGCCCAAAGTTTTTTTATTACATTGCAAGGCTAAATTAAATTATTCTACTTTACAAAGTTGCTAGATAACTGGAATGGAATTATCTTTAAAAATGGATTTTGGGGCTAGGCATGGTGGCTCATGACTGTAATCCCAGCACTTTGGAGGCTGAGGAGGGAGAATCTCTTGAGCCCAGGAGTTCGAGACAGCCTGGGCAACATGGCTTGACCTTATCTCTACAAAAAAAATTAAAAATTAGCTGGGCCTGGTGACGTGTGCCTGTAGTCCCAGCTACTCGAGAGGCTGAAGTGGGAGGATTCCTTGAGCCTGGGAGGTCAAAGCTGCAGTGAACAGTGATCACACCCCTGTAATTCAGCCTGGGTGACAGTGAGACCCTGTCAAAAAAAAAAAAAAAAAAAAAGGATAATGGGATTTTATTAATATCATCTTAATATGTTTGTTATTTTAGTGTACCACAAAACCATTTATGAAGTTTGTAGTAAAGTATATCTTCCCTTAGAAATGAGATTTTCCTTCAAGGAGGAATAGTTGACTTTCAGTAGGGAACATATTTTATTTTAAAGTAGGTTTATATA